TTCAGGATAGAAAATCAAAGGATAAGAACATACCATGTAACACATGAAGTATTAACACTGAACCGTGCGCCTCGTTATTTGTAGGAAATCTATATTTGCATAAACGCAGAAATAAACGCAAGCTTGAAACTCATCTAATGAAAAAAATATCAAAATGTTTAATCCATTAATGAAAGTGTCTGTCACATCAAAATCAAAGTCTGAGCAGAAGGATGAAGCTTCGGAAAAACCAAAATCGTCATAGAAGGCCAAAAATCCTACAGGAGTATCATTCGCAAAGGCCGAAGTATGCGCAGCAGACATTTTTGAATCTAACTTCTCTCTGTACGTTAACAGGCAAGGTATGCACCTCAGAAAAATATTCGCCGTTCGGTCAAGCATGACCTTATTTCTACTGATCAATTAATTACTCAAGTTAACAGCCTTATGCTTACACAGATGATTTGGAATCGGATATCTATGCAGAAAATTTAAAAAACGCATTCACATACCTTTCGCTCAAAACAGGTGCGACCTCTGCCGAGCGGTTCATTCATTTATGAAAAAAGCCGAGGTTTTCCGATCCAGAAAAAGGGCGCGAATAAAGTGGGGGGAGTGGATGGAACTTTGTGTGATTTGCGGCTGCGTCCGCTTTTTTCGCTTTTTTGATTGGCTGTCCGCCGATCCGAAATTTGTGAGTTGCAAAATTAAAAATAGTTAGTTTTACGTCATCTTGGCCGAATCTAACGATTGGAGTGTCAATTTCGTGTGTTGCACCTCAGAAGTCGAAAAATCCGCACAACTAACAGACAGACAGGCAATCTACCTCACAAGTACCTCCGAGTGAGAGCGGACGGACGGACACGGACGGACGTACACGAAAGCTCATTTCAGGGGAACACACTCCATCAACTTTGCTGAAAGGTAAAATGAAATCCTACAGACTATCAATAGTTGTTTTTAATGAGACGATTTCATGATAGCCGGGCCTACTGTTTAGATCGGTTTATACAGAAAGAGAATTGTGTTTGAGTTCATGTGCATGTACAATCAAATCCGGGAAGTCTGCGCGTCCGGTAAATTTGCGAATTGATACAACATCCAAGATTTAAATGTGTGCTTTTTGGTCGTTTTGTGATTTTATGGTTTTCAATTGTATAACAGAACTTCATTGTGATTGTTGATTTACGAATTCAAAATAAGTCATTTAAACTGACAGACCTTCAACCGAAAATATTAGGCCAAAATAAAACAAAATAAAAATATAATTGGTTTGACATAACCCGTCCGACCCAGAAAACAATGCGCCGACTCTAAGAATTTTATTGTGAAAAACACAACGGATTATTTTTAATGATTTCACCGGTCAGGATATTTCTGTATACCCAGAAGTTGCTTCACACGTTTAAAAATCTGCATCTCTCAAACGCTTTGAATTTCTTTGTAACCATATCTGATATTTGCTGGGACTATTTTGGCTTTAGGCGCGTATTAGCGTCTAAAGCATACAGCTATAGCAGTTTTCTGCAAATCTGTAATACAGGTTCTGATGAGGCTTAGTGCAAATTGTTTTGTTTAGAATGCAAACGGTTTTTTTTATAATAACAGTTTAAAACAATCCCAATAAGTTATAATACACATCGGGTTGCAAAATAAACCTCACTTGCGGCGGAGGGAGGGGATGCGCGTCCTGCAGCGGATGCTGTCCACTTCTACTTTAATACATGTGCCCATATTGAGGACAGCAAATTTAAATGTTTGTGTGGTGGTGGTGGTATCTGTTTAATGTCCGATAAGGGCTGAAAAGTTGACATTTTCAGAGGGAAAAATGGCCGCAAATCAATAAATGTCGTTCTCACGACATTTGTAGGTGGAAAGAACGAACTTTCTAGGTCGCTAATTTGCCGATTTTAATTTCGTTTTTTTTCACTCTACTTTTGTCGTTTTTTCGTGTCGAAATAAAGAAATGGCTCAAATCATAGAGGCATAAAAAGAAAGACCAATCAAATTGAAGCATTTTGTAGGAAAAGAGACAAACATAAACACCAGTGTGAACATATATATTATGGCTTCTCTCGTAAATTTCCTAACTCATTCATATTAAAATACAAAATGTCAGATAACAACACATTTTTAACTCAACATACACAATTTAGGTACCATTGTCATCGTTAGATTATAAAAACAACACATATAGAAATCCAGTTCATTTACATTAATTAAATTCGTAACAAAAATCAAAGTAAAGGTAAGAAAAAATGTACTCCAAATGTTTCTCCTACGATACATGCAGATATTGCTATACTCAGTTTTTTTTTATCTGACCCGTTAGATCCGAATGATATATACTTACCGGGATTCGTCAGTTAGGGGGTATGGGTTAGGGTACAAATTAACGTTAGGAAAATCCTAAGTAACGAGGAAATCGAATAAGTAATGAGAAAGTCGAATAAGTAATGAAGGTTTCGAATAAGTAATCAGCATTCTACATGTGTTGTATAGGTCGAATAAAGGAATTCAAACGTTTATTCATTCGTTTAAAACTACTTTTATCGTGTGTATGTAATGTAAAAATTGAATAATTAATGAAGAAATCGAATAAGTAATGAGGAAATCGAATAAGTAATAAAGGTTTCGAATAAGTAATCAGCATTCTACGTGTGTTGTATAGGTCGAAGAAAGGAATTAAAACATTTATGCATTCATTTATAATTATCTTTATTGTCTATAAGTAATGAGGGGAGGAATAACGAAAAGGAACTGAATACATAATAGAAAGGAGGAACAATAGAATGGGGACGTTTGATAATTATTCAGAAGCATTTATAGTGTTATTACATAATGATTACATGAATAAATAATAGGTATTGAATTAGGAATGAAAGTGTCGAATTGGTAATTGAATAAGGAATAAGGAATAAGTAATAAACTGCTACGTCGAATAAGTAATGGAATAAGGAATAAGGAATCAACTTCACGGAGGTTAATTTAGGGTGTGTGATATTACAAATACACCAACTACCAAAATGCAATATAGGCAATAGTGAATCATCAGTATTGATATAGATACATGACTACACCACTGGCCTGTACCTGGTTCAATACCAATAAATGTTGTGTAACTAAAGTATTTATCGAGTATTATCAAGTATTTATCAAGTATTTATCAAGTTTTTATCTCTACAACCTAAAATGAAACAAAATCCGCTTAAACTAGAAGAATACTACATAAACGGTTATTTTCGCGGATATACTCTTCGCTCTTTCGTGATGCATCAAAATAGAAAATGGAAAATGAGAATTTTCCTTATGAAATAAGCCCCAGTTGTTGGACTGGAGGCTACACATCACCATGGTGTACAACCACAGTATGTACCAGAAGAAAGAAGAGAAAACCGGAGACAAGAATTCTCCGAATACGGAAGTGGTTCTTATAGAGATACCTCTTGGAAACTCTCGTTGCGTTCGTGTGGTACCCTGGAATGATTTTTTACGAAATTTCCATCCAGCTGGTTACCACTATCTCGTTTACTCTCATTGTTACTTGGGATTGCTGACCATGACTTGTCGTAGGCAAACTGGCCTATGTATAAAGAATGAACACATTTAGTATATAGATTAAATTCAGGTTGATGGTATTTTATGATTTGCCATTTCAATTGCTTGACTAGGTTTCTCGAAAAAAATTACCCCGCTTCTCTTCCCATTAAGGACAATCTCCATTTCCATCATATGCAAGAAAACCGTACATTTCATGACTATCTCATTAATCTGTTGTCGGTCCTGTCTGATCCTCGTTAAGTCTTCCTCCCATTTTAGTGTGTTCCAGGTGCAGTATTCGTCCTTCTAATTTCATCATTCTAGTTTCGTATGTATCACATCTTACTGTTTGTCCTTTCTTTCTGCAGTTGCTTTCCATAATTCCGTAGTGAACATTAACACCAACAACACTGCTGCTGACATCTTCATTGCCACTAGTAATTATTTTTCTTATCGAAACAATTAGTGATTCTAACGATTGGGCACCCATTGTGTGGGTTCATTAATTTTGATATTCACCACAATTGCATAAATATGTACTTAATAAATTAAACTCCATTTTCTCGTTTAATGTTATCAGAGAAAATATTCCTGGAAAAGGGGTAAAATAAATAAACAAATAGATAAATACTTATTATTGGTTTAATGTCATAAATGAATGTTCCACATTTATTTTATTTCTTTGTTATTTTGATTAAGTTTACTGATGGAACTATATAACGGTTGTGGTTATGTTATGTATGCGCGGATGCTGACTGTTTGGAAGGAGGTGATAGGTCTAGGGATGCAGTAATTTGATGCTATTGTTATCACGCTGTATAAATATAAAGGGCACTGACCAACTTCAGAGACCTTTCGGACATCATGGAGGAACAAGGTCAGTAGCATCTTTTATTTATACGATTTGCTGTCAAGGTTTATTGACATTTAAATTCTTTTTCCCACCTCCTCCCCTGCAGTCCTCCCATCATCTTATTTAATTGTTGTACTTATTTTGTCTGTTGGTTACATAATAACTACCTAGTAGTTGTTGCATACTTTTTGACTTTGTTATGGCCTACTTTTTATGCTAAGAGCATTTCAATGCTCTTCAGCATGTTGCTGTCGCCCCTGGCCCCGAGTATCAGTACTTCGTTTTCATTGGTTCATAAATCGAAAGTTTACTCCTACTCCATCTGCCGGACATTACCGTAATCATTGGATTATCGCCCCTACAAGTTGCTGATGCTAGTCATTAAATGAAACAACCTTATCGACATTTTCTTCATTACTTGTACATCAAGAAAACGTTTTGTGTTGTGTATTAATGATAATCAGACATCGAAATTTGTAAATACAATGACAAAGACTCACGTTTTATGGTGGTAAATTTTGCGAGGCGATGCCAATATGGCGGCTTAACTTTCTCTTCCGCGCGATGCATTGTGGGTGTCATATATCCTTCTTTTTTTTCTTGTTCGAAAATTTTCATCCCGTTTAATACTGTTGAAAACTTTTGAAAATACTGAAATATGTAGTTGAAAATAAGAATGAAACTAAAATAAGAATGATTTAGAGTAGCATAAAATTTTGACGGAAACAGCCGGGGTGCTCTTTGCTGCTGGACCCTGAAAGAAGACGGCGGCAGAAAGAAGATGGCGGGTATTTTATGTAGGTAAGTATCACTATATATATATATATATATAAGCTGAATCTAAAGTCAATACTTATACTGAACTAGCAATTGCATTTTTTGCAAAAATTCATTTGAAATGAGCTATCGCATGTATTGAATTTAGGCTCGACGGCGACGCGCAAGCTGGGCACTGCCGCCATGGCACTTTTTTCAAAATATTTTCAAGACTTTTCCTTTGAAGCAGTATGCATTTGAAAAATGTTATGTAAGCATCTAGCACATTTTTGTTGCTTCCGTAAAGTATTTCAGTGTTTTGAAATGAATTTATTTTTGAATGATCGTTTCATAATGGTCTCATCGCAGTCACTTCTGTCAGTGGCCCAACAGATCGGAAATTAAACAGAAAAAATCTTATCCGTAATATTGTACCAGGGACGTATATATGTTAATATATAGGTCCCTGATATTGTACTGTACTACTTACGCTACCGTGAATAGATCTAGGAATCTATCTGTGTAATATATCGATTTTACTTTAAAATATCGGTCACTGTCCGTGCTATTGTAGATCTAGCTCTTTCAAATTTCTGATCGGAGATAATTTAGAAGTACCTCAAGGCCAGGGTATGAAATCGTACGGGAACTCTACAGCTATGCTAATTGTAAGGTTTACAAGTGAAGTTATAGTTTTAGTTTAAATTTAGTTTTTGTCTTTCTGACATGATGTCTCGTTGATTCTGTTGAAGAGTGATGCATGTGAACGATTGCAATATAAAGATTGGGAATAATGAAGATGTCAATTGACATCTGAATCCCGGAAAGTGTTTTAATAAAGATTAGGATAAACCTAGCAAAGTGTTAGGTCCCAGTGTGAATATGTAAAGTGTTAGGTCCCAGTGTGAATGTGTAAAGTGTAATTGGTACAATTCTTATTATGCCTGAACTTTTGATATATGTACTGTATTTGTTCATCTCAGAAATTTCAGTATTATGTCAACTGCTTCCACTTTCAGTTCAACACTTGATTCATCAATTTTACACAGCCCTAGGCTCAATATTTGTCATAAATTGTCGACTGTTTTTAAGCGTTTTAGAGTTTTGTTTCCATGGTGAATGGAATGAAATGGGATAAATAGTCTAACCAATACCCCTCGAGAGCTTATTAAGACATTGCAGTATTATCACTTTGGGCCTTATTAAAAGTCAAATTGAAACTTTAAGAAACTCAAGTGACCGTAAGTACAACAATAAGATGTCGATAATCAATGAAATTGATTAATTGAGAGGACATTTTCTTAGTACAGTTAACCAGGCTTTGTAGTGGTTTGTTCAGAACTGTAGTTCTGGTTAAGTAACCATTAATTATGTCCTTTCAGCTACAATGACGTACATTTTTGAAATACCTCTACTGTAGCTAAATGTGGCATTTGTAATAGACATAGCCAAAGTTAATTTTGTGATAGACGTAGCCAAAGTTAATTTTAGGATCAGTTAGGACAGCTACTGTTTGTAACAGGCATGGGTTCAATTACATGATGATGTAATTAATTAAATTACAATTACATTATGAAAATGGCATTGCCATTACAGGTATTTTCAAAATAATTAAATAACCATTACATGACGGTCCAATGTAATTAATTAAATTACACATTACTTTTCAAGTCAAAATGATTTTTGAAATACAAACGTCAAAATAAATTATCATACTGCACAGATTTATCACACAAATTTAATTTTATGATTCAATCTCTGTATGACCATGGTCAAGATATTATCATTTTGCTAGCTGTCCATCGCTTAATAATTTGACAGTATATTTAATATAGACTCCTATTGGGAAGACTATAAGCTTATACAGAAGTGTATATTTCTTGCACATAATCATAGCAATAATGAAATATAGTTATTTATTTCCCTTACTCTCTTTCAGCAAGTGGATGTCCCTGAAGAAATGAAATCTGGAATGGTAGAAGGTATCTCTATTGATTCTTCTAAGTTGGAATTGGCTATGGTGACCAACAATGGATTTGAGGACCTTATGGTGGAGAAAAACGTCCTTCTTTCCGGCCTCCAATTAGATGTTGAAGATGATTAATCACTTGAGGAGATGCTAACAACCATGTTGCCTTTTAATGTCACAGTACTTTCTAAAGGCGGCAGTATATTTACCATCACAAAAGAAGAATCAACAAATCGTGGAAACTAAAAAAATGTGGAAAAGATCATTGTATACTGCATTTGTAGTAAATTTGTATACAATCTTCAATTTACTTGAGTAGAAAGATTCACTAGTTATACCAAGTTTGTGTAGAAAGGATCACTGTATACTGAGTTTGTAGTGTACATAGAAAGGTTTACTTATTTATTTTTTTTCTGAGTTTAGTGTATACAATATATAAAAAAAACTTTTTGTAGAAAAGATCACCGCATACTGAGTTTGTTGTTTACAAATGTGTAGAAAAGATCGCTGTATACCGAGTTTATAGTTTACAATTGTCTAGAAAAATCACTGTATACTGAACATAATATGACTTCTGTTTAAAACCTTCATTTAAACTTAGGCATGTATTTTTTTATGTATCTTAAAAGTCTACCTACAACAATTTTGTGTATGCAATCTTGTACTAGGATATTGACATGACAAGATTACATTGCTGATCAAAGCATGGAAAGAATACTGTATCTAAAAACTGAATAAAACAAGATATAAGCATCTGTATCATGTTTTTTATTATTATTATTATTATTATTTTTCCATAATGTCTGTCCACATGGAATTTGTAAGCACTCTTGTGCATTCTTATACCACCAAAAGGGTGGGTAAACTGGAATCAGGTTGTCTATCAGTCCATCCATCTGTTTGTCTGTCTGTAGACACATCTTGTCTGGACAACTCCAATGAAACTTTTCAGTAATATTCAGGACAATGTGTAGATGTGCATGCACCATTTTCCCTCGAAATATTGATTGCCATGGCAACTGGTCAATATAGACGGGTTTTGCTTGTCAGTCAACTTCTAAACCTGTGGACCAATTTCAACAAAACTTTGCATGAATGTTAGGGAACGTGCACATGCCGCTGTGTTTCAGAGGATGTTTCTGTGCAAAAGGTCACCATGGGGAGATAGCTAAGGCTGTGGGTGTTGGGGGTATTAGTTATCATTTGGATTACAGTTTCAGTTATCCCTGGGCAATGTGGAGAGGATATAGTAATGATTTTGAGGATTGAATGTAGAGGTCACAGTACTTGCATAAGTACTATATGATTACCTTGTAAACGCATTGAGACTAAGACAGTATACCTTAATCAAATTTGGAACATGTATCCCTTATGAGGAGAAGTCGGTTTCTTTAGAAATTCAGGGTCAGATGTCAAAGATCAAGGTCACAGTCAAAAAACGGATAGATGCATGGGGGTGTTCTTTGCATTACCCTCATTTTTCTATCAAATTTTACAACCTAAAAGATATTCACATCTTGCAAATTTCAAGGTCACTGTAAGGATGTTAAAAAATGATAATACAAGAGGAATAAAATATCTTGCGACAATTTTTAGAGAACAAAGAATATATAAACATGTCAACAGAATTGTAGAACCAGCAAAACAAGTGTAAAATTGAAACAAAGACAATATCTACTCAAGATTCCCTGAAAAAGTACAAGGAGAATAAGACCAGGTGTTCCGGAAGAATAGGCATCTTTTATTTTAAGTTATGGTGACATATCATATTTGTTTTAGAAAATTGGCACTCTTATGCAGTCGTTTACAAACAATCTGGAAAATGAAGCTGCCCAATATTTGTATGTAGCATGTTACTTGCATGATGATCTAACTAATGGTCTTAAACCAATAAGATACGCAGTCTCTAAAGTGATAATATGGTGTCCAAGATCAACATTTCCTACAATGTATCCAAAGAAATGGACAACTTCCCTATCATTGCATCTTTGAGCCTACTTGGGACATGTATTGCATAAGTAATACTACTATGCTTGTTATTTCTGATATCTGCTGGTCATTTTTATGGGCTGCAATGATTTACTGCTTGCATATAGTTGGTTTCAGTATATAGCAAGCTAATAACAAAGAACTTATTTTTTCAATGGTCTTAACATACCAGTACTTTCAGTACTTTGATTAATTTTCCTATAGTGGTTAAAGGAATAATTCTTATTTGCTTATCTTATGACTTCGTCATGAACTGAAGTTTCTTTTCTTAAATGCGGTTAAGTCAGTAATTATTACATGTTGTATATCTCTTTAGATATGTCTTCAATAGAGGGGTTATTTTCCCCCATTCAAGGCTAGTTCCTTTTTTTCCATATCATTGTTTCACTTAAAAAAATGCGTTTTGATGTACATTTAACGAGGGGCGTTTTCTGATCCCCATCTTAGACTTGTTTAATGTTTTTTCATAACATTGTTAACAGGAACATTTGGTATATGATGTACATTCATGAGAGTTTACATATGTACATTTATATACATACGTCGTTAATAAAAACGGCCAATTTCAATTCATATTGAGTCTTTGTGGTTTATTTACAAGTCTAACTAGCTGGCCATGGTAGCTGTTCATAGTGGAATCATTTATAAATAACAACAGCCCGCCGTGGGCCTCACAAGTGGTCAGCATCACTGTTCCCAGTCCGAGCAAGACCGTCACTCGGTATCGATGAGGGACATTAAAGGGGTGGATAGGCTATGCACGTTTTTTAATTCATTTCCGGTTTAAAAGATGTCTTGTATAAATACATTTTGTAGTAATTTGTATTGATTGAACTTAACAGAGAAAATTACATTTTACTACATTACTCTTCGCGGGCCCCTAGATACATGTACCCTTTGGACAGTGGGACCCCCTGTGACTAGCAGATGGACAGCAAGCTTCTGGCAATAATTAACGGGTGGTCACGCAAGCAAACATTCACACCTTATGTCTAAAATTATCATTACAAGCAACCGTGTTGGGATTACTGTCATTTTGGAGTTTGGCAACAAGAACCTCCTTTACAACATTGTGCTGAAAAGCTTGATTTTATTCTTCTTTTTCTTTTCGGTTATATGATTAAGGTGATTTTCATAATACATCTAGAAGGTAATTTATTATCGCAAATGGGATGCTGCGAGCACCTCCAGCTAGGCTAACGCATCACAACCTTCAGGTGTGTTTGTCCGTCCAAAACAAACATTCACACCTTATGTCAGAACTTATCATTTCTAACATTTTTCCGCCATTTTGTTTTATGCACTTCATGATTGACGCAGCACCTCATCCGCGTGACACATGTGGATATTTTATTTCTGCTCCTCATCCAGGCGGTTATACTGTGCCGCTATTTTGTTTCTGCACCTCATTCTCATGACACCTCCGGCCGCCATCATGGTTTTACACCGCATTTCAGTTGACACGTGTCACACCAAGGAGGTGCTGCACCACATTTTAGGCGGGCCTAAAATCTACATAATATGCTACTCAGAAGTCAATGAACATAAAAGTTTTCGTTGGATATTAGAAACTTGTGTATTATGGTTTTCTTGGTGTTTTTTCATCGGTTATGAAAAAAAACAGATAATAGAAATATGATGATGAAATTGAAAATGCTTGCTTTGCTTATTCAGAAACATTTTTTTCAGTTCTTCAGCAAATGTTACTTAAAATTACGTTCACAATCAATTCAAGAACATGTAACTTTTGGTAGATACAACTGACGAGTTTCATGCATTTTCAATGAGCCTAAGATTATTTATTTTATAAGTGTGCTAGATTAGCCACGTAATGGTCCCCGTTACAAGAAATGGTCACATTTGTCTTATTGGTTTGTCCATGTATGCTGTATGCAGGAATGTGTACGAAACGGATTTAAAACAAATCTGGCGAAAACTGAAGTTCAGATTTAATAAATAGACTAATTCTAGTTTGTTCCGTTTGTTAATTTATATTCTAAGAAAGGTATCACCCACGGTTACCGTCTTCATATGACCCTAGCTTTTGTGAGACAAAAGACCAGCCATGCACAGACAATACGGATTATTGTAAGGGTAGTGTGTATCTCTAATGAACCATAAAGTTATAAACCCGTGCAGGTTGATAATATATACTATTATCTATGATAGATATCTTACAACGATTTACAGAAGGAGACTTAAGGGACTGATCAGGGAACGAGATAACATCCGGGTACTCAGTATACAAGCTGTAGTGTTTTATCAATATCCTCGTTACTTGTCAGTTAATCACTGAAGCGTCGTCCTCCGTAGCCTACAGAAGGAACTACGGCGATTGTATGGTTTCCTGTCATCCAGTAATGAAATCGAACGTTCATATCAGTGTTCTTTAAAAACTGGATGTATCAAAAATACCACACGGAAAATTGCGGTTAGTATGTTTTCATTATAATTGTAAATTTCCAGTTGCCTAAACATTTGATAGTCTGTTACACCTTGGAGTAGCATGATTTTAAGTATTATTCTTGCCTTTCGTTTTCTTTCGGAAGCTCTTAACAGGGTCTTTTATTGATACCACAAAGCTTCTTACTGACTAACATTGGTAAAAAAAAAATAAAAACAAAAATAAGCTAGTTCAGTGGATATTCGGGGTTCCGGGCCGATCCTAACGGAAATAGTGCGGAGTTACAAGCACTGTTGTACATATGCTTTCTTGAACACCTTAGTATTGATAGTATTGTCAGGCTCTTTCCACTGGAGTACTGCGTTCATGTACTCTCGTCAGGCTCAACTCAAACCTATTTGCGTTCAAGCCAAATATAGATTACAAGAGGTAGGGTTATAACTTGACAACTGATAACGACTTACAATGTGGCTATGTCGGAACGTTTATTAATAACTACGTTGTCATCTTAACTTTCAATAAAGAACACGTTTCATTCTGTGCACTCTCAGACTTTCAACTTCTTTACTTATCTTAAATGTTAAAGTCAAGAATAAGATTGTTAATTACGACATTTAGATATGTAGATATGCACCATGCACTATTCAAACACTGATGACGTTATAGATTCCGGACTACCTAATCTGGGCACGGGTTGTGGGTCCTGTAATGTCACAGTAAACATTTGCGATAACACAGGGCTAGGCCGCTAGCACATGATCAACACACAATACTATCACTAAACGAACCGTTGTCAAACACCGCAGTCATACGTAAGCTATGTCGCTTGTCAAGTGTTTGTAAGATCTATCAGTATTTACTACGGAATATTTCTCGACTTTTTGGGGGTATTTTTCACCCAAAATGATGTGGCTTAATACATAAGACAATTGATACAATTGTAAACATGTTTTCCTGATTACATACGCATAAAACAGATGGATTTCCGGATTACGGCGTTGGACGTACTGAAACAGCTGTATTTATTCTAAGCAAAGGATTATGTTCTGTAAATTTACTAGATTCAGTAAGGTAGGTAGAAGTACATTTATTTATCATCAGACGCCAATCAGACTTATCGATACAAAAATGAAGTTTGCTTTTCAGAATATCCATACAATACATTGATTCCAAGCCATAAATATATACATATATGTTTGATTTTCAAATTTCCGATCTATTCACATAGATATGACTTTTCAACATCCGATCCATCCACAAAAAACGTCATTTCAACGTTCGATCCATCCACATAAATATGTTATTTCAACGTCCAATCTACTCACATAAATATGTTATTTCAACGTCCAATCTACTCACATA